CAGCCTCAACCTGCTGGGCTCAGGCAATCCTTCTGCCTCAGCCTCCCAAGTAGCTGGAACTACAGGTGTGTGCCACCATGCTTGACTAAGATTTTTATTTTTTTTGTAGAGATGAGGTCTTACTAAGTTGCCCAGGCTGGTCTTGAACTCCTAGGCTCAGGCAATCCTCTTGCCTTGGCCTCCCAAAATGCTGGGATTACAAGCATGAGCCACTGTTCTTGGCTGGATCTGCATGTTTGTATCAGCAGAAGCAATATAAAAAGCAGCTGATGCTCCTATGCGGGGCTGAGGACTCTTTGAGGACAGGGCTTCGCTGGCTTGGATTACGGTTGTAACCCCAATGCCTGGAACAGTGCCGGCATATAACAGGTAAGCCACAAATATTTTCATTGCATGAATAAGTGAACTTGGAGGCAGACATTTTTCCAGGGTTATCTTCTCGACCGACCTTGACCTCTGATGCCATGTCTTGACTCAGTCCCATCTTTTCTGGTCTTCGACCTTGTCCCATCTGATCCCACTGGGGACCCGGTTTCGGTCCCTTGCTCTAATCAGGATGCAGCTTTGGGAAACTGCCACTGAGACCCAAGAGGGCAATCGTGGCATGGGGAACTGAGGACTGGTGCTTGGTGGAGGAGGTCCCAGCAGTGCCAGCAGCCCCGTCCAGCCCCATCCAGTCCTGCTTGTCAGGTGGGGGAATGGGGGGTGAAGCGCATTCTAGGCATGAGGTCAGAACTCCATGGAGAAGCTCCCAAGGCAAATGTATTTTTTTTTTTAGTTGAGGTCTCACTCTGTCACCGAGGCTGAAGTGCAGTGGCATGCTGACGGCTCACTGCAGCCCCCACCTCCTGGGCTTGGCCATCCTTCCACCACAGTCTCCTGAGTAGCTGCGATTCCAGGCATGCACCACCACACTTGGCTCATTTTAAAAATCTTTTGTAGAGACAAGGTCTCACTGTGTTGCCTAGGCTGGTCTCAAACTTCTGGGCTCAGGCGACTCTCCCACCTCAGCTTCCCAAAGTGCTGGGATTACAGGTATGAGTCACCGGACCCTGCCAGGAGGAAGTGGATCTTGGGTCCCCACAGGCCCACAGATCAATGGGCTGGTCAGACACACCAGGAGGTGACCAACGGAAGCTGGTCCTATTCCTCCAGCCCCTCTGTCTGCACGGTTCCCATGTGACCTGTCCCTCAGGACTCTTTCAGGTGGCTCTAACACTGGGCTTGGCACTCGATGCCTCCCTTTCTGTGCGGTGCCATCACCCACATGGCTTGAAGGGACCTTCTCTAGGTGGAAAGCCCCTCCTTCTGGGTCCCCTCAGGGCTGGTCTTCTGGGCTCCGTCTCCCATAGAGTCTTGGGGTATGAATGAGGAATGAGTGGGGTGATGGGATGAGCTTTCTTGGGGCCCATGGTGCAGCCACATACCTGTTTGTATAGATGGAGATGGCAGGTGTGGCCAGCATGGCTGGATGGCCCCCGGGCAGCTTTCCCAGCAGGAGAGCTGTCTGTACGTGTTCCAGGACCCCGAGTAGCTGGGGCACCAGGGCAGTCTGGAGAAGGAGGCAGGAGAATGTGATTGTGGACCTGTCACCAGACCCCACCTCTGGTCATTGACTCAGTTCAGCATGGGACCCAAAGATTCCAAACGCTCGGCCCTCATAAGCCCTTCCTCCTCACCACCTCTCTACACGGCAAGGGCTTCACCATTCTCACTTGCCAGATGGGGAAATGAAGGCACAGAGAGGACAGGTGACTTTGGAGATCACATGTTGACAAGGGGAATAGCCAGGACTCACAGCAGAGCATCTGGCTCCAGAGTCCGTGCACTGTGTATGGACACTGCACATGGCCTAGGGCTCATTCCTGGGGGAGTGGGGCAGGGCTGTTTCATGGGTCACCTGGTCTTGGACTCTGCTCCCCACCTGTTCAAACACCAGATGAGATGCGTCCTCGCCAACACCAAGGCTGGCGCGAGGATGCTGGAAGGGCTGGATATCTGTATCCACTTAGGCACAGATTGTGTCTGTGTTTGTGTGCGTGTGTATATCTGTGTGTGTGCATGCACGTGAGGGTGATGTCACTGTGAATATAAGTGAATGTGTGGCGAGGCGCGGTGGCTTACACCTGTAATCCCAGCAATTTGGGAGATGGAGACAAGAGGATTGCTTGAGCCCATGGGTTCGAGACTTGGGCAACTTGGCGAGACCTCATCTCTATAATAAATGAAAAAATTAGCCAAGTGTGGTAGCACATGCCTGTGGTTCCAGCTACTTGGAAGGCTGAGGTGGACAGATCGCCTGAGCCCAGCAGGTCAAGGCTGAGGTGGCCGTGAGCATGCCACCGCACTCCAGTCTGGGTGACAGAGTGAGACTCCAACTCAAAAAAAAAGTGAATGTGTGTCTGTGCGTCTCTGTGTGTGTTTGAGTATGAGTGTGGGCCTGAGGATGTATGAGCCCCAGTGTTTGAGTGTGTGTGAGTGTGCATGGGTGATTTTGTGATTACAGAGTGTGCAACCTATGGTTGCACCTGGGAGAGTCTGTGAGTGTGTGTGTGGCCACTTGCGAAGATGTAAGGATGTAAATGTGTCTGAGTGTGTGCAAGAGTGTGTGCCTGAGGCAACACGTGAGAGTCTGAGTGTTTGAGGGCTGCTCAGTGCACACGTGCATGTGTGACTGTGTGCCTGTGTGTGTGTGTGTGTGTGTGTGTGTGTGTGTTTGTGGGAGGTGTGAGTACCTGTGTGTGAATGTGTCTGGCTGTGCAAGTGTGTGGTGTGTACTTCTGAGCATCTTTGCATGTTGAGTGTCTTTCATTCTTCCTGAACAGAGGCAAGGGCCTCATGCCATCAAGAACTGTGGGGCAGCAAGAAATGGGCTTTTGGCTCCATCATGATGCCATCTGGGGGGCTGTGTCCTTGTGCCCTATCTGGGGGCTGGGGCCCCACGAGACAGCACTACCTCTGTTCTCACTCTGGGTACCTGCCTCTCTTCTTTCTGTTCTTGGCAAAAGGAACCAGGAGTTTACCCAGACTCACAAGGGGATACCTATGCTCTCTCTGGCTGGTGGCTTATCTAGGATAAGATGGGGTGCCTCGATTTACAGATGAGGAGATGAGGCTTAACATGGCTTGCCCATGTTACAAGCCTCCTAAGTGACAGAGGCAGGATTCAAACTCAGGCTGCCTCGTTCCAGAGCCTGACTCTGTCCACGACACCATACTGCCTCCCAGAAGCTCTACTCTCTGGAACTTTTCTTCCAGATCACTGGGCAGCACTTTAACCTCTGTGCCTCAGTGTCCTCATCTGCAGGATGTAGAAGGTGCCACCCAGAAATGCTGGCATGAGCTGGACATGAGTGGGTGTGAAGTCTGCATCTGGCCTGGGATACTCACCTGGCTGCCATTGGCCTCTGCAGGTTCTTCCAGTCTGTTGCTCAGGGAAGCTTCCAGCACGCTGCCCACTGCCTGAAACAAGTCTCTGGTGGCTGTCTGGCGCCTCTGATCCTCAGGATGGGCCTTGGAACTCACCGTCAACAAGGCCTCACTAGCATGCTGCAGAGCACGACTGGCTTCCCACTGGATTCACCCAAGGAAGGAAAAGCAGTGTGAACCTGCCTGAGCTAGACCTTCCCCTGCACCATTCAAGGGCCAGGGGCAACATGGAGGGGAGCAAGGCACAGGCACAAGCTAGGGAAGGGTTGGGTCAGACCCAGCACACACAGATGCCTATGTCCTTGACTTGAGAGCAGGTCCTCACTCCTTGCAGTGCTCTGAGTTTCTTCAGGAGAGTAGCCTGGTCTGTCTCTGACTTTTCCTGGAGTGCGCTGCACAATGCCCAACACTCAGAAAGCCTTCAGGAACATTCAGTGACAGGAGGATGAATGGATACATGGGTAGGCGAATAGGTAGACGATGATGGATGGATGGAAGAGGGATGGAGGGGGGATGTGGGAGCAGATGGATGGACAGGTAGATGTACAGGTGAATGAATGGTTGAGTGGATGGAAGGATGGATGAGTGGATGGATGGGTGGGAGATGGATGGATAGATGGATAGACAGATAGATGGGTGGATTAATGGGTAGATAACTGAATGGGTGGGTGGAAGACAGATGGGTGGGGGGTCGATAGATGGGTGGGTGGATGGATGGGTGGGTGGAAGATGGATGGGTAGGTAAATAGATGGGTGAATGAATGGATGCATAACTGAATGGGTGGGTGGAAGATGGATGGGTAGGGGTAGATGGATGGGTGGGTGGATAGATGGATAAATGGATGGGTAGGCAAATGGATGGATGGGTGGGTGAATGGATGGGTGTGTGAATTAATGAATGAACAGATGGGTGGGTGGAAGATGGATGGGTGAGGGGTAAATGGATGGATGGGTGAATGAATGGATGAGTGGGTGGGTAGGTGGATGGGTGGAAGAGTGGATGAATGAATGAATGGATGTATGGTTGAGTGAATGAGTGGGTAGATGGATGGGTGGATGAGTGGAAGGGTGGAAGGTGGATGGATGGGTGAGTGGATGGATGGATGGGCGGGTGGATGGATGGATGGATGGGTGGATGGATGGGTGGGTGGAAGATGGATGGGTTGGGGTAGATGAATGGGTGAGTGGATGAATGGAAGAATGGATGGATGGGTGGATGAATGGATGGATGGATGGGTGAGTGAATGGATGGGTGGGTGG